ATAACACCTTGGCATAGTAGAGTATTGCAATGTGTTCCATACAACTCCAATAGCAACCTCAGAGCGTTCCACTTCGAGCTGAAACCCTTTTCCGATTCTTTGTTTTATAAATGCTCCATGTGCACATGCAGGAACATGTCTTCGACTGCAATCACATGCCCTCCTGACTACAGAAGCTGCGTGGTCCCACAGACCACTTCAAGTGCTTTCTGCAGCCAGTGCGGCTCCTTCTGCACCACATGTGACAAGCCACCACTAGGTGAGACGCTTCTTACGCAGGTAGCTGCAATTTGTATTGCCTATTCTTACATTGCTCTCATGCCAAGTGCATGAACACCACATTGCCACCCATTCAACAAGCTTTTTCAGTGTCAGATTTTTTTTTCCAGGTATCAGGAACCCATAGAACAATATTTCCTAGTGTCACGCATCACGCATCCTCACGCATCCGCATCCTGTTGCATGCCTTCGCTTGGCTTTTAATGAAGAGTACCCATTTAAACCCGTCAATGCCTCTCTTTGCTACCGCTCACTGTGCAAAATGTGCCTGATGCCACATCCACTTTCACCAAGCCCACCGTCATCCCCATGTCTGATTTCCCTTTCCCTTCCCTTTCTTCATCTTCCGATCCCATTATTGTATTGTCCCCATCGACAGTGCCAAAACCTTCTCCATCACCAGCGCCAGCACCCTCACCATCGCCAGTGATATCACCCTCCTCATCGCCTGCGCCAGCACCTTCTCCATCACCAGCGCCAGCACCCTCACCATCGCCAGTGACAGCACCCTCCTCATCGCCAGCGCCAGCACCTTCTCCACCTCCTCCCACTTCAGCTCCTAATGCACCCTCCGCCTCTCCCTCCAAAGGAGGGGCGGTTTATTCAGCGAAGCCATGGCTGGGATTGCTGCTGCTGGCACTGTGGCTGTCCTTGTGTTGCTGCTGCTGCTGAGCTGGCTGCTGTGCCAGCAATGCTGCACCAACGAGGTAGCAGGAGGAGGGGATGGTGACGGCAATATTGGAATAGGCTAGAGTTCACTCTCATAATTATCATTGTGTTATCTTATTAGAGCAAGTTACACTTCAGGTTTCAGTTTAGTTTAGGTTCAACTCATAGGTTTCACCTTTGATAACACATCATAACTGTAAGACAAACTTGGGTTAGCATTGACACTTGCCACAGGCAGGCTGGCCTGGTTCAGAAGAGGCCTGGCACAAACAACAATAGATAATTCACCACATAAATACAAAGTCCTACAACACACCAACACGCAGAGACAAATTAAGCAAAAGCAAGGCAAACAGAAGAATTACTAAAGAGCATGGGGCGACCTGGGACGTGTTGATATGGAATTTGAGTACCCTCCCATGATCGTGGTGCCAGGGTACCAGGAAGGGGAGGCATAGGAAGAAGGACACAGCAGAGGAGGAGCGGGTGAAAGGACACAGCGTAGGAAAGGCTCGTGAAAAGCAGACCAGGAGGGGGCCGGGGGGCGGAGGTCTTGGGGACTGTGACAAGCTAGTCGGCCAACACTAAAGGGCAGTTCTCACCACCAGGGCCAAGGAGGGAGAAGGGGCAGTGGCGAAGATTCACAGAAGGGCAGAGAGAGGAGTCGGGGCGACGGGGTCATGGCTCTGTTGCTCCGGGCCACCTGCTCTAGCCACGTGCTCCTCCAATCTGGCTCAGCCTCAGCCAGCGCTAGCTCGGTGCAGCTTCGGTTTGTCAAGGTTGTGTCCGTCCTTCAGAAGAACAGGTTGTGTGCTTGGCAGTAGGGAGGGAGGGTCGCTTCTGCTGCTGCAGGACCACGGGGAGGGTCACAGGTGCCAATGAAGCAGCAGGAGGGCCGATGGTGAGGAGGTGTGAACGTTGATCAAGCTCAGTTATTACGTTATTAGGTACATTGGAGCAATTAGGCCAAGTGTTGGTCTGTTGTGTTAATGAGAAGTTTACAGACAGGCAAATGAGTACTTTGGGAACAGGCATTACAACTACTTAAAAGGCCTGTCACTGCTGCCTACTCCCCCACCACGGCTCTCCCCCATACCTCCCCTCCTCCCTCCCGTTCTCCCTCCCCCTCCTCCATCATTCCCACCCAATCCTCCCTCCCGCTCCTCCTCTCTCCTCCCGCTCTACCCCCTATCCTCCCTCCCTCTCCACCCTCTCTCCTCCTTTCGATTCCATCCCCTTCCTCCCTCCCGTTTCTCAGCGCCTCCTTTTCACCCCACCCCCTTAACGCCCCTTCCTCTGACTCCCACCCCTTCCCCCCTCCCACCCCTCCCATTTTGGTTTCATCCCCGTCCTTTCTCACCTGCACACAGTATCCTATCCATCCTCCTACAGGGATTACGAGACGATGGCCGAAGGGGTAATGGTCTGATGGAAAGATGGGTAATAGGCTGATGGGTTGACAGGAAGATCGTGTGCTGATGTGATGGGACGATTGTGTGATGGTGTGATGTGATGGTGAGATCAAGGGACTTCAATGGGTCAGTCAGTCAGCCATGGGTCAGTCAGCCAGCCATGGGTCAGTCAGTCAGCCATGGGTCAGTCAGTCAGCCATGGGTAAGTCTGTCAGCCATGGGTTAGTCAGTCAGCCATGGGTCAGTAAGTCAGGCACGGGTCAGTCAGTTAACCATGAATCAATCAGTCAACCATGGGTCAGTCAGCCAGCCATGGGTCGATAAGTCAGCAATGGTTGGTGCGGTTGATGGGTCGATGAGTGAGCAATGGGGTTCATGGGTGCAAGTCCCTTCTTTTTTCACCCAAGTCCTTTTTTCTTTGTACATACCATAGGGTCCTTATCGCCACTGGATTACGATTTTACGCTCCCCACTCTCTCTCAAAACCCCTTATACTCACGCTTTTGTCGCCAGCTTTCATTCCTCTCAAGAGACTCTTCCTCTACCGCATCTGACATGGCATTGCATATGAAAGGGCTGTGAAGAAATCAAACCCTTTGTTGCCCATGTGTAGCAGATGACAAGGCACTGAACAGAAGTGGATTTTGTCTGGATCAGGGTTGGCTGATCCATCAGCTGAAGCTGGGAGTTCAGCGATTTCCACCCATAAAGTTTAAAGATTCAGTGTTCACTGTAATATTTAAGCTGATGATTCAGCCTAGGTACATAATCTAATGGTGTGTTTTAGCAAATAGGAAATTACAAGTTACATGTTTGACTTACACTTGAAATGTCGAATTCAAGAAGTGTATTGACAGCATTGCAGGGTCACGCGTAAAACCTGAGGTAACTGGCCATGATCGATGATCGAGTGGTGGAGGGTGGAGGGGGTTGGATGGCACAGCTGGAGCCAGCTCGCGTGCAGGGGGCTCGGAGCCTGGTAGCACTACCAAGCCCGCTACCGAGGGCAAAACGACCCTACCGGGCCAAATTTGTCGGTTGGGTGGGGGATGGTGGAAGGAGGGATGTGGGGGGTAAAAAGGGGGGAGGAGGGGGGGGGGGGGGGGGGGTGGGGGGGCGGAGAGGATGGGGTGGTGGGGATGCAACGCAATCTTGTAATTTGAGGGGGGATGAGAGTCTCGCTATGTGCAAAATCAGTTCTGAACACTGGTTTCAGTCTGAGAGTGAAAAAAATCTGGAAACTCAGAAAAGCTACACAAAAAGAAGTCCAAAAGTTCAGCCAAACCAGGGGAACAAAGGCTGCCAACTCAGCCTAGCTAGGTGAAAAACCCTTGAAAAAATGTTGAATCGGCGTATAATCGCTGCACTCTAGGGATCTGGTCCGGATGCACAGGATACAGGGAGAGAGCATGTGATGCTTTGCGGGTTAGATATGTGGAATGGAAAAGGATTTGCTACGGTATATCATATTACCGTCATCGCCCGGATAGCAGACAGTGTTGAATAATAGACAGGGGTTGTCTATTATCCGGTTGTCTCTTATAAACAGGCTAGCCTCATTATAAGACACCGATTTGTGTGTACGAGATAAGACATATATGTCTTATAATCAGATTAGGGGTTTCGGGGTTTTCTTGTAAACAGGGGGTGTCTTCTAAACGATCACTAGTTCCTTTAGGGGGTATATGCATGTACGTCTATGAATATCTACTTCTACCTAGCCCTCCTCAGTCACGGCCTCCTCCCCTGCACTAACAGCAGGGTCAACACCCAAGTCTGGCACTCGCCAGGCATGCCTGGCCGTCTCCCTAGGATCGATCATGCGGTCAACCTCAGCCACCGCTCCGCGGTAATTGGGGGTCTCCTGGTACAGCACCTCCAGGCTGGTTGCCACGGCCACCTCCTTCACACCCTCCGCCTCCATCTCCTCCTCCTCCTCTGGCGCCTGCCCAAGCAGGCGCGTGTTGTCGCCCGTGGTTCCCCCAAGGCTCATGTCCTCGGAGACATTGACAGTGCTCCTGGCACGCAGGTGAGACATCACCAGGTGGTTTTCCGTCCCGTCCAGCTTGCTTGAAATTCCACAGTGGCGGAACGCGTCAATGATGACGTGCTTGGGGACTTGATCCCACGCCTCTACGATCCACTGCAGCACCACGAGGTGCGGAGGCCTCCGGAGGTTCCCTGCGTGTGGGACAAAGGCATGGGTAGCGAGCCGTTAGAGACATGGAAAGAAAACAGAGCAGAAGTTGAATTCACATAACTACTCACCCTTCTTCGTCTTGCGCAGCCGATCAAGCCTTGCACGGTCAACATGCTACTCGGCCGCATCAAGGCCCTTCAGATGGCGGCCAAGATAGAGGCGACCTTGTACAAGGAGAAGGAGCTGCACATCATGCAGGACATCTCGGTCATCCGCACGGAAGTGCGCGTCATGGTTCGCGGAAAGAACAAAGCCGGCACCAAGTAAGATGTTTTAACATCGCCGACTTTGCCAGTCCACTCTAGTATTCCCGCCAATGCTCACCGGCACTGCTCACACTCAATCATCACCCTCGCACTCTCCTCTTCTGCAGAAAATATGTCGACCGACATCGCGGAACCATCGGCGACACTTACACCACCGAGCAGTTCCGCAGAATCATGTTCAAAGTGTTGCCGCACTGGTCGGCGACGGCGTGGAATCCGGGGGGAACAGGTCCTTCCCAGACTCTGTGGAAGTTCATGCTTGTGAGAGCGATGACCCTGCTATCGCACCACACTCTGCTCCGCGGTGCCAGCGTACGCGAGATCACGCTCGCCGACATCTTTCTGTACCGCCTTGCTAGCGGGCCGTCGATGAACCTTGACAACCGGCCAATGGTCATGGTCATCGCGCAGCGCTACTTGAAGATGTGCAAGGACGCCCGTCTTCATCACAGCTACGCGGCGAGGCACTTAGAGGCGGAACTGTGTGTTGTGGGCGATACAATCCTCTGGCTGCACTTCATCTACGACCAGGTCCCCCAGATCTTCGGCGTCCGCATAATTCCGCCGTTGGACGTACGCCGACCGGAGCTCTGGTACGACAAGCATCTCTTCTTTGCCCGCTACGACAAGGATCAGGGTTTGCTGCCGTCGTCGAGCCAGCAACGAATCACTCGGCAGCTGTGGACGGCCAACAAGGTTTTCATCAAGCGCAACGTGCACGCCGCTCGTGCCGGCGGGGCACAAGAGCTGGCTGACCAAGGCACGCCGCGCGCTGAGATAGCCGAATTGGGTCACTGGGCTATTGACAAGATGACTAGGAGTTACATCACTTCAATTCCAGTCAAGGTGGTGATGAGGAAGGCCGGCTACTCCGGAGCCCGAAGCAACTACTTCCTGGGCCGCAGCAGGCTACCTCCCAGCGCAGACCTCGAAAAAACCATCGCCGTGCACATATTTCCCGGCGTCGAGGAACAGTTGGGGGCGGTGAGTGTAGCGACGCCGCCCTCATGCACCAGTTGGATACCTACTTTGTGTCAGTGCATGATATAGTAATTGGCGGTAGTGTGTGGACATAATTGGCGACGGTGTGTTGTGTAGCATGGGGGGTTTGATGTGTGCGATGTTCTGGTGTGTTGCGACTTTGAATAAATCACTTGTAAGCGCGCATATTTGTGTATCACTTTTGCTTCCCCAAGTACCCTGCCCTCTCTATTGCTCCAATATCATCTTGAGCTGAGGGACACGAAAAGGGTGCCACGCAGCAGCAATAGCTAACTTTGAGTGGTAGGAGTGGTGGAGGTGCAGTGAGAGGGTGCAGTTACGATAACCTCTGTTTATGGATATTTCATATTCCATTACAGTTTCCAGACATTCTCCGGTTAAGTGGAGGGTGTGCAGCCCATCAATGCATTTTGGTCAGCTGTGGCGAGACACAACACACAGCGACCTCACTGGTGGAGAGGGCGAGGCGTGCACCTGAGATGCGAATCTGCATTGCCTGCTTCCCTCTGGCATTCCACAGCATCACCTCCTCCCACCTTTGCTGCCGCGCCGCCTGCTGCCATCCCACCAGCAGGTGCTGTTGGAAGGAAAAATATTATGGATGGACTCTGGGTGGGCAATGCAGCAGCAACATGCATGTCCTCTACCAACGGCCCAACTCATTCTACTAATCTGCCCACCATCTCGTGCATCATTCCTCCCCCCATACCCCGCCTTTGTCAATTGATTCCAACCAGACTTATGCATGCATAATTCTCATGTGTAAAGTTGCAAACCCTACACTACAGATAACGTATAAACAGCACATGTTCCTCATGCACTGTTCAAAATGTATCGATAGGTCAATTGTGACTCAATTACGGTACTGGTGTAAATGATTGAGGGGTTCTATTGAAGCATTAGTGAAGGGACAAGAATCGTGTTGTGCCACCAACTTCCATACTCCTGTGTGTATTGTTATCCCTGTTTTCCACACCCTTGCCTCCACACCGCGCCCCTTGTCAGTATCTCTATGATTCTCACAGTCCACCCTGCCAGTCGCGGTCCACCCTGCCAGTCACAGCACCCTACTCTAGGCTGTGAACAAGCAAGGCCTTGCCACCAGACACAGGCCCAGTTCTTTTTTATTTGCCTCTGCCCTCACCTCACCTCCCTTTCCATCATCTCTCCTTGCCACCAGACCAGCCTATCCGTTGGTGAACCTCGTCGTTTCGAAGGTACGGTAATCTTCTTCTGGCGTCCAGAGACCTACCAACTTGGTCAGGGCAGTCAGCTGCTGCAGCCCATCATCTGTGACTGCCGTCCCACCCAACCAAAGTTCCTCAAGACCTGTCAGCCTCCCCACATTCACCATGCTAGCATTTGTCACACCCATGCATTCGGTAAGGCTCAGCAGTTGGAGTGACGAGAGACCTGTCAAGTGCAATAGACCGGCATCAGTCACCTTGGTAAACGAGAGCAAGAGCTGCTTGAGGGTGGTCAAAGACCCAATGCCTTCCAAGGCAGAGTCTAAGACGTCCGATTTGCTGAAGTTGAGCTTCTCCAACCGTTGCAGTCTGTAGAGGTGCTTGATGCCCTCTGCACTGGCACAAGAGCTAGAGGACAAGTCAACGCTCTTCAGATGTGTCATTGTGGACACATGGCCGAGCATGGCGTCTGAGAGGCTGTGAAGGTACTGGAGGTTTAGCATGGGTATGTGACTCGTTGATGCTGAATCGATTGCCTGGGGGAAATGGGCGAAGAGGGAAAACATGACAAAGGAATGGATGACCACGGTAGTAAGAAGGAAGTAGCAAGCAATGCATGCCCTCACTTGAGAAACAGGTTCACTCAGCACTCACCAGCCATGCAGTCTTGTGATCGCCTTCACTCTGGCGAATTTTCAGGTCTTGTGTCATCTGCCGGTCCTTACAGGCTGTCAAACCTTCAGAATCACGTGGCCAACACAACTCCTGCACCTCCGCCCCCTCATCTTCCCGTGCAAACTCCAATCTCATATCTTGCGTTCTCTTTCTACTCTTCCCTCCCACCCCACATACATCCAGTGACCTATTACTACTCTCAGCCCATAGCTCCTTGTGTCTTGCCAACTCCCCTCTCACTGCTGCCAATTCCTCCTTAACCGCTGCCAACCCCCCCTTCACTGCTGTCAGCATGTGCCGCAGCTCATCCACCTCCTCCTTGTGTGCAGCCAGCTCCTCTCTCACTGCTGCCAGCACCACCTCTCTGACCAACTCATTGACTGCAGTCGTCACTCTCTCAGCAGCCATAGTATGCATTCACTCCCCTACGACCCTTGCTAGTGACTGCCGACTGCGAAAGCGGACAAACCACGGTAGAGCAGGAGTGAGTTTCTTGCGACGGAAGAGGGAAGGGAAACAGAAAATTGGAACAAGGGGCGTGGTCAGTACACGCACAAACGATACCAATTACTACACAGGAATGGGGGATGAGGCAGTGATGTGAGTAAGACAGCAGGTACGGAGCAGAGGAAGAGGGACTTGACAACCAGATGTGGGAGACTGGGTTGAGCACATGTCTGTATCAAGTAGTGAGAGGAGAAGCTTATCCACACTCATCCATTGCAGTAGAACAAGCCGGGGAAGGCCAGGAGGAGAAAGTGAAGACAAGATTTCAGGAGAGGCAAGACATAGCAGCAGGGACTGCTGGAAGGAACACCGTAAAAATTGCAGCAAGGCAAGGCATAATGAGGATAAGATATGTAGGATGAAATCGCAGAAATAGGTAAAGTTTTGCCGAAAGAGTGAAACGGAATAACAACAACAACGAGACAATGGGAGGAACCAGAGAAGACAGAGAACGGCAGAGAGGGCTGGTGTTGTGGCGAAAGTCAGATGTGAGCTGAACGAGCAGAGCAGCAACGAAGTCCGAGGTAGAGCGGTTGTAACAATATGGCGGTTATTGAAAGGCAACTGTCAAGTACGGAAAGAAGAGCGGAAATAAAGGAAGACTGGAAAAGCAAAGTCAGACAGAGGTCTTACCTGCTTCTAGGTCTTTAGCGTATTCAATGTGTCTTGCACCACAACCTGAAATCGATGCAAGTAAGGAGGGTCGCAAGTAGAAGCGGTAGAACCAACTGAGGTTGGTGGGAAACGTGAGACATGCCAGATCCCCTGAGCTGGTGGATTACACCTGAAATGGAATGGGAGAATTGAAGTGGTCGGAGGGGTCGTTGGCGGGAAGGAGAATGGCTGGATTTGTTCTGGGATGACAGGTTAGATTAGCCATTAGCTACTCTCAGAATAGGTCATTAGGAGAAACGACAGTCACAAGGTAGGACAGTCACCGGCTAGGTGAAGCACAAGCTGGGCCAAAGTGAGGCTGCGTCACCCACAGGGTAGGCCAGACACAAGTTCGGTCAGTCAGAGGCTCAGCCAGTCAGACTGTCAGGGGCTCACGCACAGTTTTGGACACTTGCAGATGAACCTCGAAGAAGGGTAAAGGTTCATTCATCAGGCGGAGGTGAAAGGGGGCGAGGGGAAGAGGAGGGGGGGAGGCAGATTAATGTTTCCATGTTAGAGTTGTACAGGGGATTTATTGGTGTTGCAAAACAGGGCGAGCATTACTTTCATCAATGTTTGCTCAGGCTTGGTCAACCACAAGGTAGGTCCGAGACACGTTAGGTCAGTCATAAGCTAGGATAGTCACTTGTGGGGTTACAAACAATTAGGTCAGACATACGCTAAGTTAGTCATGAGATGGGTCGCTTACAACCTAGGTCGGCCATAGGCCAGGCCTACCACACGCTAGATTAGTCACAAGCAGTGAGTCCAGGTTTGACTCGACTCAGCTAATTCAACTCGCCTCTTTGTCGAGTCCACTCAGTTCTTTTTTATCTGACTGGACACGAATCGAGTCATTTCGGCTAGGCCTAATAGGCCATGCATTGCCCGACTCGACTTGACATTTCCTGATCGCTGGGTTGGTGATTCGACACAGCACGACACACCTGCCTAGTCGAGTAGGTTTGTCATGGCAACCCATTTGTCGCACTTACATGGGCCAAGCAAATCTAGTTCAGAAACAGGATTTAAATTTGTCAAGCTCGAGTTTTTTGCCTTATCTTGTCTTTTTCTTCAAGTCAATCTGTCCGACTTGAATTGCTTTCCTTTAGCGCCAACCGATCCGCATAAATGCTCTTGCTTCAGCTCCAAGCGGTTCACTTCAGGTCTTTCTCACCTTAGTGCCGCCAAGCAATCAGCTTGAGATTCTTTCTACTATCTTGGCACCGCCAAGTGATCGTTCCAGCTTGTAGTGATTCATGACAGAGGCGCAATTTCTCTCTACCCGTTTTAGCCCCAAGAAAACGCGCTCCTTTAAATGTGACTGGAACGCCGCATTTTCAGGTCGAGACAACGTTGACTCGCGAATTGACTCGCGAGTTGACTCGAGTCAGGGCCGACTCGACCCAAGAAGCCGAGTGAGGTTGATCGACTCGTTTTGTTCTGAGCTTGAGTCGCCTCGGCCTGTGCACGTGTCTAGCCTAGGCCTGTCAAATTAGGTCAATCAAGGGCAAAAACATTCACGGCTGGGTCACTTACAGAATAGGTTGGTCACAGGCTGGGTCTGTCACAGGCTGGGTCACGTTGGTCATAAGCCGAGGTGATGGGTCACAGGCTAGGTCGGTTAGAAGTAAGGTCAATGACAGTTCGGGTCAGTGACTCCATGAACGTTGACGAGACGAGGGACAGCAGCATGGAAAGAGGCCGGGGCAATGCTACCAGGGGCATGGATGTGTCAAGGAACACTGCTAGTTTCTTGGCGGTGTGAAAAAATCGCAAGGGACTCGTTTGTAACCTAAAAATGCACATTTACCTGCTCTGACAGAACTACGAGCACCACCGTAGGCTGTGAGCCTCAGGCTTCAAGGCTTTCAATGCAGAGGGACGACCAGGAAAACATAACGAAACCTACCTCGATTTAGGGTTTCTTAGACTGCCGCGTTTCCGTTGCTTATCGGCAATGACTACGTTTCACGAAACCTTCCCGCCGGTATCAGGGGCGTCTTTCAATATAGCCGCGAAGTTCGTGGCCAGTGATCGGCGGTTTAATGTCGGCCATGCCAAAATTATCGAGGCGGTATGAAAAGAAACCCCACTGTCACACACTCTACCCTGCTGGATCGACGCCAGGGCTGATAAGAACGCCTGAGCAGAGCTCGGCTAGCTTCTTAGTCAACATGGCGACCACAGAAGCAACAGTACTGAGGGCCTATTCAAATTTTGGATCAGCGAATCGGCTCAACATTGTTGTCGATTCGGTTCAGGCATGATGCGCAAAGTAAGGCAATTTGACGGTCTTCGCTGGTGAAAGCTGTTGCAATCGCGCCTGTGTAACACCTTGTTGCCGAAAACCAGAAATCCAAACTCAAACCAGCAAGAACGGGCCCTGAAGTGTCAAACCCTAATTTAGTGTGGACTGAGGAATATATGACACCCCCTAACACAGTTGACAGTG